GGATGTAAAACTATCTTTGGTATTCCATCCTCAAATTGATGGACAAATAGAGCGTGTTAATGAAGTTTTAGAGCAGTATTTAAGATGTACCATCAACTACCAACAAGATGATTAAACAACTTTTTTGCCATTAGCAAAGTTTGTTTATAATAACACAATACATTCTTCTAAAAAACAAACACCTTTCTTTGCCAATTATGGTTATTATGTACAACTTAATATTTTTGCCTTTTCAGAAGCTGATAATCCTACAGTGGAAGATTTGACAAATTATTTATTAGAGCTACATACAACAATAAAGGCATAGTTAAAAGAAGCTTAAAAACAAAAAAAAATCAATAGAAATGTCTATTGAAAGGAACAACCACCATTCCATATGAGTGACAAGGTCTGGTTACTTCATCGCAATATCAAGACTACTCGTTCTTGTGACAAATTGCACTATTGTAGGCTTGGACCATTTCCTATTTCTGCACAAATCAATCCAATTATATATCATTTATACCTACTAAAGTCAATTAAAATCCATCCAATATTCCACGTTGTTGTAATACGTGCAGTCTGGCTTACGAATGCTCCGAGCACTTGGCTGTAGAAGGAAGAATAAAAATTGCAATAACAAAATCCTAATTCTAATAGAATACTAACAATGATCTAATTAGACTATAATAATGCTAATCAAGCTTAATCAGATTCAAAAAAACCTCAAAGAAATTTCAAACAAACAATAGGAATTGTTAAAGAAACATTAGAACGAACACAAATGTCATTCAAATACACCTTAATTCAATCTTAATTTAATTCTAGTTAAAATCCTATTGAACTTCATTCAAACTTTAAGCCAAACTAATTGAATCTTAAATTCTAATAAAATCCTAAATCCTAAATCAAACCCTAACCAAACCCTAAACCAAATCCTAATCCAAACCCTAAATCCTAAATCAAACCCTAATCAAATCCTAAATTCTAAATCAAATCCTAACCGAATTCTAAACCAAATCTTAATCCAAATCCTAAATCCTAAATTAAACCCTAATCAAATCCTAATACAAACTCTAATTCGAATCCTAAACCCTAAACCAAACCCTAATCAAACCCTAAACCCTAAATCAAATGCTATCCAAATCCTAAACCCTAAATCAAATCCTAATCTAAATCCTAAATTCTAAACCAAATCCTAATCCAAATCCTAAACCCTAAATCAAATCCTAAACCCTAAATCAAACCCTAATCCAAATCCTAAATCTCAAACCAAATCCTAACCAAACCCTAAACCAAATCCTAATAATTCCTATAATAGATTTAAATCTCAATAACTAATGAATAAACCGTCGATCTTAACCAAAAATTTTCACACTTCTAAAAAAATAAATTAAAAACAAGCACAAAAAATTTGATAAGAATCGAAGTTACCAAATTGACGATATCTTCAAAAATGTGCTCGGGTATTGGTCGGCCTCCTTCTCCAATCTTGATGCCAATCTTCTAGAGCCAAAATCTCTCTTTTTCACCTTTCGATTGATTTCAAAATTCTCATACGCATAGAAAAATAAGTCTAATATCCTCTCACGTAATTTTCACTCCAATCCAACTAATATATTACAAGAAATCTCAAAAACCCCCCTAGACCTAAAATTCTACTTTCTGAGACCTTAATCCACTTAAACCTCAATATCCCTCAATTTAACTATTAGATCGAGCTCAAATTCACGAATCATATTAAACACAACTATAACCATAAATCCACAAAATTTCACCCATAGATCTACTACAAAACTCTTGAAATCTTCCAAAACATAAACCCTATTTTATTTCATAAAACCCAAGTCATCCGAAACAAACCTTGGCTTTGCAAAGCTCTTACAAAGTCATATCAACTTCAAATCATCCAAAATTAATGCCTATAGAAACCCTATCCAATCTTCTATCAAACCCCACTCTCCGATCTGCTAAAGAATCCTTGAATTGCTGTCAGAGCGTGGTTTTGTGCTTCGAGGTCTGATTTTGACCCAAGTTCATAACCGGTCCTCTTCGGGTACCAACTTTCATCTTCTTGAGGTAATTTTTACTAATTTGCACTCCTAACTCTTACCTACATATGCCTATATCCTTTATTTTTCTAATCTACCTTGTTTTGCCTTATTTATGGGCTTACAAAGTAAATAGAAGCATAATTTGCAAATAGGCAGCATTAGCACCTTTATTTTTTCTACCCTTTGACTAATATCTATTTTTCCAAGATAATTTGCTACAATATTTTTGAAGTGAGATCCTCAAAACATGATATTTTCTTCATCCTTTCACTTGTTATCCATATTACATCATGACAACGTGTCTCTTCTTGAATCATACAAGACAGTAGATATATTAAGAAGAAGATAAGTACCACCTCCTCCTATAAAAGTAGACAATAATGAAGAATTTGAAGTAGAAGAAGTCTTAGACTTAAGGCCGTGCCAAATTAAGTTGGAATATTTTGTTCATTGGCATGGATATAATATTAGTGAACATACATGGGAGGCCAATAAAGAATCTTGTAAATGCACCAAAGAAGGTGGAGGCTTTTCATTGACGACATCCATCAAAATCAAGATAAAGACCTTCTCTATAAAAAAAACAAGATCTATGCAAGATAACATTCTACTTTCGATTCTTGTTTGTAGCTTCTTTGTAGTTGTGACGTTAAAGAGATGGAAAATCAACAACTAATGGATTTGACTAAAGAGCCTTCATTTGCAGACCTGCCGAACAAAACATTGCTATTGTTACAACCTTCAAGATGACGCAATCAAGATGAAGATCCTCAAGAATGACATGCTCTCCCTCAAATAAATGGCAAGATACAATGTGTTTGGTATCATAACCTTGGAAGAGACTCCCGATATTTGATAATTTTATTAAAGGTAGAAATAACTCATGATGGTATTTCAATTATTTAATTTGAAGGAAGTTATGAAGGCCTCAACAATAATTAAATAATAGGGTGGTCTTTCCGCCTTGGTATGGGATACTATCAATGATTGAAAAGACTTATCAACTATCTTTGAAGAAAACAAAGATTGGAATATGTGATAAATATAATTTGTTGCATCTTGGATTTCTTCAACATATGAAGACAGCTCTTTGTAGAACTCGTTCTTAGAAGGGGAGGAGGAGGTAATGTCACAGACATACACATGTAAACCAATAATTATTTTTATGATTTAGATAATAATACGTAAAAGTAGGTCAATTCCATAATATCTTCTATAGAAGCTTTGTAGAAGCTTCATAGACATTGCTTTAACTTTATAGGTGTCTTTAATTAACTTTTTAGGTTAGAAACGTAGTCAACAAGTTGGCTATGTGCCACACATGTTGATAGCTTGAAGAACAAGCTAATTATGTGGCCTACACGTAGAAAACTTGTCTTATAAGCTAAAGCATGTATCTTGCAAAGTCAACACATATTGGAGGTCTTATAGAACATCGTCATGTAGCTCCTAGTTAAATAGTATATATAGAGGCAAGAGTGAAGCCCTCTTCATTCTTGTCAACTCTTTTCTTACTTTTAGTCCAATTTCAAGAGTCTCAAGCTTTCTTGTCTTTTGGCAATAAGCCATTCTAGTTTCTTTTTAATAGACATACTTCCTTATTTCTATTTTGTCACTTTTTCTTTGAAATGAATTTCATTGGTTTATGCATCATCTTTCAGTTCATGTCCTTAACACTATCGTCCCTCCTCTCTCACAACTTATGACTTACATTCAATCATGCATTCACCTTCAATTACATTCAATTACAAAAAAAAATGAGCTTTATAAATTACTTGTATTATTGATTGCTATAATAATATAATGTCATTGATAACTCCATTGCCAAATGAACATGTGTCATTGTTATAGAACTAAGTCAATGTAATTTGATAATGAGGTTATATCATTACCAATTGCAAAGTTTGCAACAATGGAGATGATGTAGCAACAAATATTGATTCTCCATCCTTGCTATAAATTGATTGAATCTATAATACATAATATGCTTGAATTTAAAAAATAATTATGTTAGAATAAATTAGAATAAAATTTTATTCTTATATTGCAACACACCTATTATCCTTCTTCTCTCACAACTCGCACCTTGCATTCAATCACATATTCACCTTCAAATACATTCAATTGTAGGAAAAAGAAAAAAAAAAAAGAAAAAAAAAAGAGCCATGTGAACTCTCTATATAATATCATTGATAATAATCATTAGATATGTACTTGACAAAATCCCATCGTCCCTCACAACTCATGCCTTGCCTAGTTGGTGTTTGATTCCTTTCCTTGCTTCTCTCTAAATTATTCAACTTCACCTTCAATCACAATTAGTCATAGAAAAAAAATACAGCTTCAATTACATTTTCAATTGTATTCAATCATAGAACCATAGAAGAAAAGAAAAAAAATAAAAATAAAAATAAGAAATGAGCCATGTGAACTCTGCTTGAGTGCATTTAGTCACAAAATTGTAGAAAAAAAATGAGCCCTGTGAACTTAGTGTGAACTCTGCTTGAGTTTTGGTCAAGCTTTTGTTTCCTTTCAAACTCCTGACAAAGTTAAGTTTTTTGATGAAAACCAAGGGGTGTATGCAGTGAATGAGAGCCACCACTTGTCTCCTTGGGTAATCTTAACATATAGATTCGAGAAGCTTATTGGAACTACATTGCAGTTTCTGCACTTGGTAAACATTAGTCTTATTTTGAAGATCTCATTTACTCTGACTTGGGTATGTCCAAATATTCTGAAAGACCCCCATTTCATCAAGCAAATTTGACTCACTCTAGGAGAGGTGATTCTCTACTCACCAGCTTGATCAAGAAAATAGTATCAACGTATAAGAGTTCCTCACTCAACTTTTGGTGTTAAAGTTTGTACATTTAATAACAGCTCAACAATTCCCATAAAAACCTTCTTTGACAGTTAAGATGGGAATGCACGGTAACCTCCTCAGAACTTGGATCTAAGAAAGGCGTATAGCGAGTCTAGGATGATATCCTGAAATTTTATTTTCAACTGAGGTCAGGGATTTCACAGGTTAAAACCTCATTTAGATCATATAACCCTGGTATGCATAATAAAAACAAGTGCGACATTTATATTCTGTCTGATCTCCATCGGTCACTTTGATGACCTCTAACCAACCAGTTAAAATATAATAGAAAAGAAAACTGAATTGGAAAGATATAGAAAATTACATTTTAATAAATCCAATACAATCTCGCTAGCAATAGCCTCTCTTGCTGTGAGCACAACGGACTCGAAAGAAACACAAATCTGGAATAAAATGCTCCGCCAAAACTGTGTCAACATTTTCTACAAAGGAAAAGACACCTTCAAGATCAGTTATCATTGCTCAAGAATTCCCTTCACATAAACCATTCCTTTCTCCATAAGCTCCAATTCTCTGCGCATGCGATCAATTTGCTCATCATCTCCCTGAACGACAACTTCACTTGAAGTTTCGTCATCTGCTACTACGATCTTCACTTGAATCTGCTCAGTCCTTGTTGCCTTCCTCCAATAGTATACGCCTCTGCAACCCAGAACTCCATTCTTATTTTGTAAGATGAGTCTGCCTTTCAATGTCACTGAGAATAGAGCAGACAACCCTTGCTGCAAAATGAAGACACGAACGAGAGCTAGTCTCATCTAATGCAACTAAAATTCATTCTAAGGAACTCAACTGAAATTCAATTCGCCATAAACCCTAACAAAGTAACATAATGAATATGGTAAGAGTATACATCAATCAACTTAAGCCTATTCTACATAACTTCCACCACTTCACAACCGGGTTTAATCTGAAGGATGTGTTCAAGGAAGAAAATGAGGTAAGAAGGAATCTTACGCCAGAGGACTGAGCAAAGTGATATAATACGCATTTTGCCCTATGTCTTGATTAGCGATCGAGAGGACTAGACCGGCGCTGCCTAAACTTACGAATGTGCAGAAAGTTAGGAAAGCTGCCTGCCCTCTACTAGCAGTCATAACTCCTTCAAACCTGCGTGCATCACCAATTCCACCTCAAACTCTGCCTAACAGTGCAACTCTAATTTCCATCAAACTCATAAATCCTGATTTCTCAGAAAGACATCCGGCACCTTACAAGAAGCGCTGTTGCTCATAAATATGTAACAGCTTTGTCTATGTAGCTTTACATCACTTTTCTTATTCTAAAGACATTTGAGCTATTTCCTCGTAACATTTTAACCGTCGTAGCTGTAAATGGCATTTAAGGCTGTCGATTGTGGTATAGAAAGGCAGGAAGAAGTCTGTCTTAACTTTTTCGCTAAGAACTAGGATATACGTCTCGACGTATTATATTCATAAGCTACAAAAGCTTGCAAGTATTCAGCACGCAAATACGACCAAAAACAATGACAAATCAACGCTCCCGAGAGAAATCTTACACGACAACTTCGCTACGGTCCTTCACCGTGAAATTATTTCGGGTGAAGAAGGATGTTATCTCTGCTGCTATCTGCTTTGGGGATTTCCCTCCCGCTGCGGGACCTGGCACATTAAAAGTTTTCTTCACGATCTGTACATCAAACACAACATCGAGGACGATTAGAGAAGCTGATAACCTGGGTCTTTCGGACCACGTCACGAGGTTAAGGGAAAGTTTTAGGAATTTTCTGACGCTGCTTTGCAAACTGTTCATTGTTTGAACTAAATAATAGCCAATGCATTAAAGAAGCAAAGAGTGGGATTTGTAGTACCAGAATCATTCCGAATTCCCCAAATTTGCTACATATTAAAAAACGATCACATTGAGTAGACACGACTTGTATGATGAAGATTACCAGTTAATACCACCACCATGAATGTGCAATAAGATCAAGTAACCAATTAAACAAAAAGAATCCAAATCTAGGCGTCTTTGAGACAATTTGCAGCGAGAGTAAAGAAATCAAAACACGCCGCAGCTAATATTCTTCTAATCTCTGCTTTGTAGCTTCAAAAGATGACCAGACGGTGTGACCGAGAAAGATACAGGAATACGCAGGCTCGACTGGGATTCGGCGAAGAAGGTTCAGAAGATAGCTTAGGATAGGAACCGAAGTAGGAGCAATTGGAATGTCGATCAGAATTACAATCAAATGTTGAAACCAGGAAACTGAGATCAAGAAATTTTCACGAACCAACCTTAGATTTTGTGGCACGCTTGACCAGCGACCACACGCCCGGCAACGACAACAGAAAGAGGCCCAGCGTGGTATTGTAACTTGCTTGAGAATACCCTGTACTGGCATCAGCCAAAATCATCAGCGGGGCCACACTGTACAGCGCAAAGGGCAGCGCGGGGCTACTGTCAGCTTCAGCTGAAACCGCCGAGTCCCTCCTCTCCCCCTCATCACTAAGCTCCTCCGAGCTTCCACCTCGAAATCCCGCTTCTGCCGACACCTCCATCCTCCTCTTCGTCTCTCGCGCCACGCGCACACCCTGGCACTCATTCCTGGCACCCCATTTCCCTGAAACTCGAACGGCGAGATTTCGCGAATGCTTACGCGGTGAAGATTGGCAGAGCGACAGGGATGGCAGAGTCGTGCTCCCGCCGCTAGCAATGGCCTGTGTGGCATTCATCGTTTCCCAATACTCTTCCACCCGCAACCTGCACCACCGCTCTCCTGCAAATCGCTACTAAAATTCCAAATCCACAGACTCAGCGCAGCAGCAGCGGTGGCCGAAATCCGCAACACTCCGTATCGATCTCTTCGCACCTCGCAGCCTTCAAAAATTCGCAGCCTCGTGCCGGAGGTTATCTGTTGTGGCCGAGGTTGGTCCCATCAATTGGAGGTCCTATCGGGACAGTCCATTGCTAGGGGACCTCACGCTGCCACCTCATCACATTACAACTGTGCCATGTCATCTTCTCATCCACGACCCGAGGGGAACTCACGATGTCGTTCATCCATCACCAGAATATACGAGACTAATTTATGGCTTCACTATGTATTACTCTCATGTACTATCGTATATGTATGGTATACGATATATATACTTTACTTTACTGGAACGGGGCCGTGCCAATATGCTTCGGCGTTGGTCTCCGAAGCTACATTGTGAGCTTTGTTTCACGGACTGGAGGTTTTGTTAGGGTTTAGCACAAGGTGATTGAGTCGTAGTCTTGGATCACGCTCGTCTGTGAGCTTGTGTCCCTTTGAAAGATTTTTCCGGTGGCAGGGTGGTTGAAAGCTCGGACGCCATGGCGACCAAGGTGCAGCGGATTATGACACAGCCCATCAATCTTATTTTCCGTTTCTTGCAGAGTAAGTCGAGGATCCAGATATGGTTGTTCGAGCAGAAGGACTTGCGCATCGAGGGTCGTATCATCGGGTTCGACGAGTATATGAACCTCGTGCTCGATGAGGCGGAAGAGGTTTCCTTGAAGAAGAAAACGCGCAAGCCGTTGGGCCGAATATTGCTCAAGGGGGATAATATCACACTTATGATGAATACCGGAAAGTAAAGTTCGGAAGGGATGGCGACGCACCAGATAATGTATCGAAAAATGTACGTCGTCGGGTTGGATTCGTTTATTTTAGATTATTTTAGATTAGGGCTTCTTCCTAGTTTGTTTTATGAGGCCTGTCACTCCTACGCACGGAGTAGTCAAGGTGTTTTTTTCTACCTCTGCGTCGACACCGAAATGCAGGGTTTGACATTCTGCGATACGCAGTGTGCACATGAGCTTTTGTACATATAGCTCAGGGAGTCGATTATTGAGAAAAGCTGAATGTCGCATCTGGGCGGGGTTGGAGCTTTTTGCCTCCGTTGAGCATCTTCAAAGTAAACTCTATTATTTGCAAAAGTCACGAAATTGTGTATGCTTGTCGGGCGATCACATGTTCAAGTTCTCTCTTTTTAGAGTCATTGGAGAGGCCAGAGTATTATTTGATGGTATTCGATAAGAACGCGTCGATCACGTCATAAACGACCTTCCTATATGCCCACCCTATCTAAATATTGAAATACTTATTTTCCATCATTTTAAATACCGCTGTGTGCTAAGCGGATCTGATGGATTCTTGAACTGCTTGTGGGTCGTATTATTGTTCGAGGAAGGGAAGATAAAAGCTGCTGCAACCACGCAATCACCAAGCCATAGTTATCCTATCTTCAAGATGGGGTTGTATCTAACGTATTCTGGGATGAGAGATTGATTTCCATTACAGTGATTGAAGCAGTGATCATCAAACTACAAATACCTAGCAGGCTGCTAGCAACGGCATGCTGTCTACGCTCTACACACTACAAACGGTAGCGCTCCTACTTCCCACATTTTGACTACTATTATCTAAAGTGGATTATCCTGGGCAGTGCATCGGTGATCCGAAGGCATGATAGGTGGATACAGCAGTATAGTTAGAACGTTTACACAATATCAACAAAACAAAGTGCTTGACATGCTCAGGGTTCTTAATGTCAGAGAAACTAATAATAGCGATATTGTACAGATCTCTGGAGGATCAGATAACATTGTCACTACCTTGGACACTCTGAAGAGCTTCGGACACAAACAATCCTCTGTTGATTTCAGGCTTGAAAGATCCTTCATGCAAACAATATTCTGTTTGTCTCCTCCTAACTTATCATGTACCTCGTGTTGGAGTATGTTTCACTATGATACTAAGATTGTATTCTCAGTGTTAAAATAGTGTTGGCATGTTAGTAAGTGAAGATAAAGAGATCATAATGTGCATTGAACGTTGATTACGTGTTTTCTATATATGAAGTTTGAAAGCAAATAGTACGTATGTGTACTGTGTTTTCTTAAGAAATAGTAATGAAATAAAAACTGCAAAATCGTGTGAACAAGGCTAACACAACAGCACTCCTAGTGCGTATTCTTCTAACGGTCAATCATCGACTTTTTATTAGTCTTGAATTCTAAACATTTACTTTTTTCGAAAAATGGCATATACTAGATAAGAAAAACCACCTCAACTTTATACAAACTAAACTCGATCTATTTTTTTTTACTAAAACCCAAATCACATGTTCATATTTCAGTCCATCCATTAAACCAGTCAAGCATAACCGAAATATTCAGTCAAGCATAACCTACTGCTTTAAATTATCCAAGGATCTCGTACTTTTTGTGGTGAACAACGAATTTTTCTTCTTATTTGTAAACATGTAATAAATGCATGCTAATTTCATAACAGACGCATCCAAGTTTTCATAGTATTTTTAATTCTTTTACTCTTATTTGATTGTGTGTGTGAGTGTGTGTGTGTTTTTTATTTTTATTTTTATTTGAGAGAGAGGCATTCCAGAGAGCAAAGATTGAATCGAACTCAATTGCACTGTGAGTGGTTGATAATTATTAATGTGTCCGAAGAAAGGTCCTCCAAATAGCAGCGGCTGCAAAGACAAAGACCCAGAGAATGGCAAGGACGGCTCTTCGTTCTCGTCAGCTCGGAAGCCAGTTCCAAACCGGAATGATACTGAACTAGGGGGCGAAGGGGGTGCATATGACCGTTCCAAATAGAATGTCTTTATTGATGGGAACGGATTCCCTGTAGAAATGTCCTCCAGCTTCACTGGATATCCCCTTTCCGCCTCCGCCGCTGGCAAGCCTAGTTCCGTTCATTGTCACTAAAACCAAGTTTCGGCTCTCCCCCCACTACCTCGCAGGTTTCACTGCTCAGATCCGTGAACTGCGTGTCAGCAAACTTAGCGATCTCGTCAGTAGTAGCGGAGTGTAGCAGCAGCAGCCTAGAACCACCCGGAAATACTCATTGACTGCGTTGGTTTGTCTTTCTTTCGTCGCTCATCTCTTGGCTCTTCAGCACCGGTGCTGCGGTGCTAGGGTTAAGCGTTACTGCCTCACTGCTACGTCACCTTCCGATTTCTCGATCGGGATTTCGATCGTACCTGCTCCTTCTTCGTAGCACGTTCTCATTGGTGAGTGGCCCGCGTCTGTTCGTGATGTTACAGAGAATTGAGTTGTAGGATGTGCTGCATTGTTGGGAAGCTTGAGCTGTCCGTCTTTTTGTAAGGAACTATGCGGTGGTGGCCGTTTTGTTGAATTTTTGGGGATTTTGTGGTTCTTAATTTTTGAGGATGTCTGGTTTTTTTGGGGAATGTTGTTCTAGGTCTTCTGAGTGAGAAAGCAAGGAAGAAGGGGAGAGGGCATATACCAGCTTAGAGGATGGCGCACAAGGCGGACGACGAGTATGACTATCTTTTCAAGGTGGTGTTGATAGGAGATTCTGGTGTTGGGAAGTCCAATCTGCTTTCCAGATTCACGCGGAACGAGTTTTGTCTAGAGTCGAAGTCGACCATCGGCGTGGAGTTCGCCACTCGCTCCATTCAGGTAATATCCTCGTTCAGGGGCATGCAACGTGCTCTTTACGGATTGAGCTGCCACGCTGGTTCTTTTGGTGGAGAATGTAGAGCATACTTTAAGAGATAGTCTTGTGTGTGGTGTGCATTGTAATGGTCTGCAAACGTATATACGCTGTTAAATGTAGGTGCGTGCGGCTGTGGAGTGCACTTCAATTATCGAGATCAACACATGATTTAGGAGCCATGAAATTGCGCAGAGGGAGTTCCTTCGAGTGAGTCGTGGTTTCGAATATTCTAGAAGCAATTTGTAGAGCTTACCTTCGTTCATTTATGCTCGATCTTGATATATTGTCCTATGAAAAAACGGTCACTCATTACTTTGGTGTCTCAGGATTTTGTATGTTATGAATGAGACTGGAAAGGCTGACTCCTTCTTACCTCTTCTTCTGATTTTGTTTTTTGTTATTTTATTTTTTTTTCTTTTTCCACAAGGTGGCCTTTCAGGTTTGTTATGTCTTTGAGGGTATACACAACTTCTGTGAATAATGATACGCAGCTGCTTAAAACATTCTGGTGATGACTTAGGTGATGCACTCTCCAGCACTTGGCTTTTGAATGCTCTAATTCTTGGTGTTCCGCTGCATTACCATTAGGTTGATGGAAAGACGATCAAAGCTCAAATCTGGGACACAGCAGGACAAGAGCGATACAGAGCTATCACTAGTGCGTACTATCGTGGCGCTGTAGGAGCTTTGCTGGTGTATGACATCACGAAGCATGTAACCTATGAGAATGTTGAAAGATGGTTGAAGGAGCTGAGAGATCACGCCGACTCCAACATTGTGATCATGTTGGTTGGGAACAAGTCTGATCTCAAGCATCTGAGAGGTGTGTCAACTGATGATGCTCAAGCATTTTCAGAGAAGGAAGGGCTTTCTTTTATAGAAACTTCAGCTTTGGAGTCCACAAATGTTGAAAAAGCATTCCAGAGGATTTTGACTGAAATTTATCGTATTGTAAGCAAGAAAGCTTTGGCTTCTGAAGAGAACACCACCGAAGGCCCCGGACAGGGAACCAACATTGTCCCACTTGACAGCAACGCCCCAGACCTTAAGAAAAAGGGCTGCTGTGGCGCCTAAAACACTGTAGAAGATGACGTCCACTGCAATTATCGTTTTTAGGGCTTCCATATTTGTATGAATCAATCTCTTTGATGGAGTGAGGTTATAAAATGGCAACCGGGCAACCTTGGAACTAGAAAATTCATCCCTGGTAGATTACAATGGATATCTTTTCCAGTTGTCTTCATGGGGTCGTGCGAGAACTAGCCTTTCGAGAATCTGTAATCTGTCGTAGTGATCTAGCGGTCTGGTCAGAAGTACTTAATCTTTCAAATACGCCTACCTCCTTGGACATCAGATCGAGCTCATTTTGTAAGGGCAATTTTGCATACTAAATTGAATAATTTAAGAAAAAATCTCCTCACAGTTTCTCTTTATACGAATTTGCTACAGTTCGTGGCTGTTAAATGATGTGGGGATGAACTGTGGAGTACAACTGAATACTTTGGACAGAAGTAACTGAATTTTTACTTCATTTTCTGGAATATTATTAATATCAAAACTACTATAAAGAAATGACACAAATGAAAGAATTTGGTAAATTTGCATGTAATACACGACAAGTAGATTTTTTATTTCAAAATTTTACTGACTAAATAGGTACATCTAAAAGTATTGATGTGATCTATGTATTAGATGCTAGATTATTTGTTTAAAAATGGTCCTAAAAAATATCATAAGATCCTTCAGAGTAAACACTTTTTTTTCCACTTCTCTTTCTTTTAAAAACTTCTTATTTAAAAAACTCTTCACATCTCTTGAATTTTGGAATACAAAATACATGCCTTATGTAACATTGTATTTTATGACAAACATTTCATGGCAGAATTGGAAGCAATAATGAATGTTATACTACAGATATAAGAGCAAATAAAAATGATTAGTAAGTGTACTCCAAGGCATTTCATCCATGTAACACAATGTATTTATTGCCAGTTAATATGTAGATAATTATACAAACATAACGATTCTCAAACTAATACTTACAAAGAAACAAACCCAAACAAAGATCTAATTCCTTTACAATAATAATAAAAAAAATATCACCATAAAAAGGGACTAAGTTTTGTTTTAGGTTTAATGAGTAACTTCTCAAACTAAGTCCAAATCAAAATCCAAGTAACTAACTTAAGGCTTCTAATTAAATAAACTCAATCAAAATTACTTTGCAATTTTAATACTTTTTGGAGCTATTGACAGGTAAAATGTAAACTAGCAAAAGCAAAAACAGGGATATGTAAAAGATGAACAATGCTATGAACAAAACCCGAAACTGGAATGAAAGGCAAAAGAGGAGGCTAGACTCAAAGACTGCAGGGAGCAATCCGGAATTCATGAGGCGTGCGAGAAAGCCACGGCGAAGCAATCTTGATCCTGAAGACCACGGTGGACGAGGGCACTGTCGGTGAGAAGAATCTTGCAAAAGCTCGTGTGCTTGAGGCATGATCGAGGCTTGGGGAGCGCTCGTGCATGCATGCAAGGACTTCGATTTCCTCTCGCATGCATCCCCCTGCTACCCCACCACCACACTCCGCTGGTTCCACGTTATTTGTTCCACCGGCACCGACAGCTGCTCTACGATTTCATCTCTTGGATGCGGATTCTCCGATAGGGGTTCGCTGCAGCGGCGAGAACTTCATCTAACGGCGCGAACACGAGCTCACCAGCTTCCACGCCTGCTACACAAGCCCCCACGGAAGGGTCAGAGCACAAGTCACTGCAAGTCTAGCTTGCGGCAGCGACGGATCGACCGAAGCATTCACTGCCGACATGAAAGCGGCGTACAAAAGTGGTTTTTCTGGTCTAAGATCAGGTGGGTCACAACGGATCGGTAAAAGAGGGCGCCGGAGAAACTTATTGTCAGGTTCTTCAGGTCTACGGTCTCCGCCTTCTCGTGCGAGTCCAAGAATGTTGCGCCGGGTTGAAGAATCACGGCTTTGGATCCAAAGCGGAAGTGCTGCTACTAGCAGCACAGCTATGTCCCCAGCAGGCATTGCATTCTATCTGAGTTTACGCGACAGGATCTCTTTTTTCCCCTTTTTTTTTCTTTTTTTTTTTTTTTTTCTTTTTTTTGGGGGGGGGGGGGTGTGAATATTACTCCTGAGTTAACAGTAATATCTTGCTTTATCATTCATCTAGTATGGACCCCACATCTCATCGTGGACCACCCTCTTGTAATCTCATTAAAAATTGAGATTCTTCTTGTACTTCACAGTGTGATACATATTATATTCTTATTCTCTCATGGTATAAAAGCGGGCTAGGTCCCAGGACCATACTTGGAATATTTTTCTATTCTGTTATGTGAGTTCAAATTCTCCATTACAAGTCCCATATATTCAGACTATAGAACAGTTCTTTGTACCGCATTAGATCTTGTATATATTACATAGGATCAGAACGCATGGGCAACATGGATACCGTCGTATCTAGAGACGTTATGTTATGAGGGCCATCCAACTTCAAATTATGGCGATCAACAGTACGCAGCATCCTCAAAAGAGACAACCCTCTGGGACGTCGTTAGAGATGATCCACCTCAAGCTCAGGAAATCTTGCCATCCAAGATCCTCCTGAAGTTCTTTAAACAACATTTTGCCCTTCCGGATCACCATCAACCAACAATACTTGCGGCACAATCCAACGGAATTAGGAAAAGACCAAATCCTACATTGAGCTCTCTGTTCAACTTGAGCTTTGCGTCTACATCAAAAACATCTCAGATCCACAAGTTGCGTGGAAGCGCCTTGAATCGAGGTGCCTTGAACAGGATACCATTTAGATTCCGGATAAACACAATGGCCGACACAATAGTGGTTCTAAACAAGTGGGAAACTCTCTGAATGATAGAACAAATGGATGTTTCCACTTTTATTTTCCAAGTTTATGAAATACAATGGGATCTGACAGCCACAGGCCAACCACAATCAAATGCCATTCTTGTTCACAGGACCTTGAACAGGATACCATTTAGATTCCAGAACCTTGCTTGGCAGATTGAGAACAAGAGAGACATCCTATCTCTGCCAAAACTTAGCGCTCGGCTTCACAATGAAGAACATTATATCTTCATATGTCAAGACGAACCAAAAGAAGCTCTCATGATGCCGATTTGTAATGTAGTCGAGCGTCATTACAAATCGCAACAATGCAACTATGGCTTCCGATCCTCACGCTATCCTCTGGGGGGCCATCAAAAGCAACCCATTAACGCAGATTATTTCATTTATAACAAGTGCAAGCAACGTGGATATACATCTCGGTATTGTCCAGCTCTAACACCGCCCAGACCGCGCCATCACACTTCCATGCCACACAAAGGGGACAAAGACAATCAGAAGCGTTTTTTGGGCAACCTCAGGTTTTTTTCCACCTGGGGATCTTTTCGAAGCGGAGAAGACCAAGGTTTAAGCTCAACGTATGGTGCCGACATACTTAAAGATACTAGTGGTGAGCTCTACTTATCACACTTTCCTTAGAAACAACTGCTTAAGGCTGCACTTGATGTATTCAGTTTAGAATCCGATCCTAGAGAAAGGGACTAGATTTTTTATTTCAGTTCCTCAACCCAATTTTCATGGGACAGAACTCCTTCCATTTCTTAGATCCACCCCAAGCGAACTCAATCACCTCGGTAGGAGGCTAAGCACATGTAATCGAGGGGCAAGGCACCGCCAAAATTTCCTGAAATAAAAACCCTCAAGGATATTCAATATTGTCTCGATAATATTGCAAGCTTTCTGATTCAGGCTACATAGCATTGTTTGACTCATCCATGTATGTAGTTCTTGCAAATCCAAACTACATCATGTGATTACTTTGGAAAAGAGAAAGAAATCCAATGGATTGTACAAACTCACAAGCATTACTAAACCTCTAGTTGACAATCTAGAAGTACACTTACCTGAACAAACTACAAATCTAGGTCAAACCCCTGTCAGCAAACACATCACTCCTCTTCATCTCTCGCAATTAAGGCACTACCGATTGGGGCACATTTATTTTTCGAGCCTTAGTCTGATGAATAGACACCAACTAGTTATAGAAATTCCCCAGTTTACTGTAGTTTCTCAGATTTGCGTTGCTTGTCAACAAGGAAAACAAACATGTAAAAGATTCCCAAAACGCTCTCTTTTTTGAGCCACCCTACTTCTTGCTCTCATTCACAGTGATCCTTAGTCGGCAAATTGATTCACTTGACTCACACCTGTTTTGACATCTCGTATTCCACTGGAATTGTGAGTCAATTCATGATACGGCCACAAGTTCCGCACATGCAAGCCACACAACGCACCCTACGTTATTTGGATAAAACTATCAACTATGGAATTCTTTATAAACGAGATACAAACCTTCAAGTATTGGGCTTTGTCGATGTTGACTGGGTGGGACTTAGAAGATAGCAGGTCGACTATGGAATTTGTATTTTGTTTGGACCAAGGCCCAATAACATGGTTATCAAAAAAGTAAGCTGCAATGACACCCGGCTCGTCTGAGGCGGAATACATGGCATTATCCCTAGCTGTCAGCTAATCTACCTTGTTGGAAAAACTAGTATGTGATCTGGGACTAACAATTACCAAGCCAATCTTGATTTGTTGTGACAATGAATCCAATATCAAAATGACAACTCTGACATCAATCCGCACACAATACATATCTTTACTCACTACCACTTCACCAAAGAATGCATCTCAAGTGGAAAAATTCACCTAGAGTATGTACCATCAATTAAACAGAATGCTGATTTCTTTACGAAATCTTTAGGAAAAAATTTATTTGAAAAGTTTAAAAATAGACTGGGGTTGTGCAACTCAGCAAGGTCAATGACCCTCCACAAAACTAGCTCCAGCCTAAAGTTATTCCTTTAAACCACCATACTTCTAGATACTCATTTAGTTCGTAACATTCCTATATGTTTTGTCATTTGATCTCTCCTTCTTGCGCTGCAACCATTCTCCCTCCTCTGCATCCTCAAACGCTTGTTCAGCAGATCCCTCTATGTTCATCTTTTGAAACTCACAGTCCTAGAAGAATTGACGCCACATTCTATAGATGCATCTCAATTCTCTCAAAAATTTGTTTACAGCATCGGCACTTGATGGCTCCTCTCATAATCGAGGGAGAATCACTTTGTCTACAGCCTCAAATGGAACCCTATACAGATGTGTAACCTCTCTCCACACCTCACCTAAAATGTCACATAAAACATCCTTCTCGTCAATTAAGTTCTCTACCTTCTTTGTAATCTCTCTCGCTAAAAATCTATGATTATGATACTGAACTAAAACTTGTTCTTCAACTGTACTTGCCACACCCTCCACCTAGGTACAACTACTATGTGAATCAGAGGATGACACAAGACCAGATGATTTGCTCTCGGCAAACCCAAACCATGTCCCCAACAACTTCTTCTCTTCAAATAACTTTGAAGCTGCAACAACTAGATCACATGAGCAAACCAAGGCGCGAGGCATAGTAAGAGGTCTGTACAAGCTCAAAAGCACCAAAACAATCCAGAAAAGTCTCTCAGGCACTATTATATGTACTACCACATGAGAACTCACAATCAAGAACACTGGAACCAACACTACTACAGCAACAAGAATCTCCATGACCAACCTTTAGCATAAACAAATGTCTCACCGTTTTTTTCTTGCGTGATAGTTGCCTCGGTGTTTTTTTCCCTTCTTCAATGTTTTTCAAATCTACCTCGGAGTAACAGGGGTGTTGGATACTACTCTTCAGTTAACAATAATACCTAGCTTCATCATTCATCACGTATGGATTCCACATCTCATCGTGAACCACCCTCTTGTAATCTCATTATATATTGAGATTCTTCTTGTACTTAGTGAGTAATGCATATTATATTCTTGTTCTCATTCTCTCATGGTATGAAAGCGGGCTAGATCCTAGGCCCATACTTAGAATATTTTTTTTTGTTTTTTGTTTTTTTCTTTTTCTTTTTCTTCTGTTTTTTCTCTTTCTCTGTCTCAGATCGTCCATTTGTCATCATTCTTCTGCTTTTGTCTTGTGTAAGCTCACATTCTTTCTGCTACAAGTCCCATACTTTCAGACTATATTACGGTTCTTTGTGTCGCATTAGACCATATAAAAAGACAATATTAACACTAATTTTTTTTTTACTGATTCCCCTATTTTTTACCTGTGTTTTGTTGCTATGATTTTTAATTAGGTTTTTCCACAATAGAACCCATATTTTCCTCTTTCACCACATAGTTGTGTTAGAACACATCATTGCGCTCTGTAATTGTAGCAAAGGAGCACTTTCGCAAGTGAACGTGGGTGCTAGAAATTGGAGAGAAGAAGAGAAGGAAGAGCCACAAAAGTGGGAAGAACAAAAGTGGGAAGAACCAAGGCAACACCAAGGTGAAGCATATGGAAAAGGGAGGAGCAGGGATAAATTATGAAAGAAGTGTGCAAATACACACAACAGAATAAACACAAAATGTGTGCAATTAGTACAATTAGCAAAGATGTGTGCAATTAGCAATGTGTGCAATTAGCAAAGATTTTGGAAAATTAGAGAGTATTTGTAAGGTTATCTAGATTGTTTATTCAGCATCTATTGTCAAGCAAAATATTACAAGAGTAGAAAACATTTTTTTTCCTAGTAATTATTGAGTTGGCCACAATAGGATCTAAAGAGAAAACATGATGAACATGAGTAATGTAATTACCACAAAAGGAGCTAAAAGTATAGGCCAATCCAAGGAAAAAAAGATTGCAACCATCTATTCGTATATTTGTTCAAGTTGTTAGGATTATAATTTTACTTCAAAGTTTAAGCAACACATGCTTATTCAATTCACAACTTATAAAGTATGTAATCAACCTTTTAAAAAAATACAATATCTTTGTTGAAGTTTGTAGAAGTGTTCATTTTACTTTTTAGGTTCTATGGTGATTTCAAACCCCTAGCATCATGGTCGAAATTATATTGTAGGATAAGATTTTTGGGTACTTCTATGTGGGAAGACAATATTTTTGTGGTGTAGGAGATTATAAATAGAATTTAGGTTTTCTGAAGGAGAAGTTTAAAGATCTTCTCCATGAAAATAAAACACAATTGTTCATTTCACAATATGATTTCAATAATAGATGTGTGTATATAAAGTAGGGAATTTGGAGAACATGGTAACAAATATGGAGTTGAGAAAATATGGGAATCAAGGAACATAAGGAATCATGGATGAACCAGAAAATTGATAGATATGCCAAAGATCACAATGCCCAATGGCTTGAGTTTTTGCTAAAAAATATAAATATGTAGTAAATAAGAAATATGATTGCTAATCACATTGAAGAAACATTAATGATTTTACTGTTATGCAAATATTGCTTTTCTTTTTCTTATTGTTATGCACATATTTCTTGGAAAGGGACGAATTCTGACTTAGAAACCACAAATTAAAATTTTACATCATTCATGTGGAAAACTGCACAGATTTCCACTAATATATATATATATATATATATGTATATATATATTTTTTGTGCTATCTTCCAAAACTGTTACGTTACAGTAATCGAAAGATTGTTCTGAAAAAAATTCGGATACCGACTCCGACTCGATCTCTTAACCATAAATTTAAGATCTGGATGATCGATTGAGACTCCTAAGGTCAAAAAAGACAGTTTTAGCCACATAGTGTTTGCTTCCTATTTTACTTGGAGAAGAAATAAACGAAATGGTGCACCCATCAGAACCATTAAGTGACCTCAAAACAACACATTCAAAAAGCGAGACAGTCACGAGCAATGAAGCAATGTGCGCTTAAGTGCGATCACATTATAAGATTAACTGAGAATCATACATTTCACCTCGCCACCTTCTATCAAGTACCCAACTCTGCCTCTGCCGCGCTTCCACCCAGCGCATCGAACAAAAACATGAACTAGTCACTTCTACCCACTGATCATTACAGCCAAGTCCTAGCGAATTCACCACAAACCACCATGCAAATACTATTCACTTCTTCTTCGCGGCAGCCTTGGTCACCTTGGCACCAGTTGGCTCCTTCTTCTCCACGGCCTTGATAACACCAACGGCCACAGTCTGTCTCATGTCGCGCACCGCGAAACGACCCAAAGGAGGGTACTCAGAAAAGGTCTCCACGGTCATGGGCTTGGTCGGAATCATCTTCACGAACCCTGCGTCTCCGTTCTTCAAAAACTTGGGCTCCTTCTCCAGCTCCTTACCTGATCGCCTGTCCACCTTGGTCAAGATCTCTGCGAACTTAACCGCAATGTGAGATGTGTGGCAGTCCAGCACTGGAGCGTACCCGTTGCCGATCTGGCCTGGGTGGTTCATGATGATAACCTGGGCTGTGAAGTTCGCAGCCTCCTTCGCTGGATCGTTCTTCGAATCCGAAGCCACGTACCCTCTCTTAAGGTCCTTCACCGCCACATTCTTCACGTTGAACCCAACGTTGTCACCTGGGTGCGCCTCAGGCATCGACTCGTGGTGCATCTCCACGGACTTCACCTCCGTCGTCAGTCCAGTGGGTGCGAAGCAAACCAACATACCGGGCCTGATGATTCCAGTCTCCACACGACCCACAGGCACAGTTCCAATTCCTCCTATCTTGTACACATCTTGTAACGGCAACCTAAGGGGCTTGTCAGACGGCCTTTTGGGTTCTGACACATTGTCGAGCGCCTCCAAGAGAGTGGGCCCCTTGTACCAGGATAGGTTTGTCGACCTCTCAATCATGTTGTCACCCTCGAACCCAGAGATGGGAACGAATGGAATCTTATCAGGGTTGTATCCAACCTTCTTCAGGTAGGAAGACACCTCCTTGACAATCTCTTCATAACGTGCACTGGAGTACTTCGGGGTGGTTGCGTCCATCTGCCGCCAACATTACGATTCAATTTAATCCGAAATCGCTCGAACACCACATGTTTTCAACATTTCACAACATCTACATTCGTAGAACAATGCGCCATATCAGCTTGTCTTTCATATTGACAATCCTACGAATCGACAACGCGCTCGAGCCTTGGATCCAGATTCTAGAAATTATGTGCTGAAGCAGGACAGGGCCTAATAAACACCAGAGCGCAAAGTAATCAGATTTACCTTGTTGCAACAGCAGATCATCTGCTTGACTCCCAAAGTGAAAGCCAACAACGCGTGCTCCCTAGTCTGACCATCCTTCGAGATACCGGCCTCAAAACCTCCGGTCGTCGAATCAATGATGAGCACCGCACAATCAGCCTGCGAGGTTCCCGTAATCATGTTCTTGATGAAATCACGATGTCCAGGGGCGTCGATGACAGTGCAGTAGTACTTCACGGTCTCGAACTTCCACAACGCAATATCAATAGTGATACCACGCTCTCGCTCGGCCTTCAGCTTGTCCAACACCCACGCGTACTTGAAGGAACGCTTGTTCATCTCAGCAGCTTCCTTCTCGAAACGCTCGATGACACGCTTGTCGATACCTCCCAACTTGTAAATAAGGTGACCAGTGGTCGTCGACTTTCCGGAGTCGACATGGCCGATGACCACGATGTTAATGTGAACCTTCTCCTTACCCATCTTGGTTTACCTGCAAAAAGTATCAGGAAACGATGGGTTCATTAGAATCTCCAACACTCAGTGAAACAAACCCACATAGGAAGAACCAGGACGTTACTATACATGAATCAAAAAGCACACTAGACACGACCCAAGCAAGTGAAAATTCACAGGTAAAGACATCCACAAGGCATGCTATCCCACGGTTTCGAACTCGATATCATGCTACACACCGAAACTACAATCCAAGCCTAGCAACGGATACACAATACCCAGACAAACCGAAAGCTACGGGTCACAGTAGCACAATCAAACAGGATTGCAGGAGCTACAGCACACGCCAAGACAGAAGCCGGTACAGAAACAGAAACCTTACCTAGGGAAGATGAGGGTTTTAGGGTGCAGCAGTAACGCCACCGTATCCACGCAAAGGTGGGGGGGGGGGAGAGAGAGACAGTAGAGTGTGTGGAAGAGAGTGTAAGTACTGTCGGAGCCAGAGTCTTGAAGAGGACACCGGTGAGCTCCTCCGGGTGGCAGCGGCCATATGGCTCCGGGCGATGGACGATCGGACGGTGGGCCTCGGACTCGGTTGCGGCAGGCGCCGCCGCAACGTCCAGGGCGAAGGTCATGGAGGTATGCGTCGGCGGCTTGCGGCGGAGGTGGCGGCGGTGGCGATCGTAGCGGCTGGTCGCTCCCTCCCTAACTTTCTATCCGTCCCCCGCGAGTGGGAACGGGCGGTGGTGTGTGTCGTGCTGGCTTGACCTAAATAGTGGGGCGCATTGATGGCGCAGGGCTTTCGTTAGGGCCTACAAAGCAGACGGTGTCGTTGCTAGCTCTCTCTCTCATCTTCTTTGCTATTCTCTTGTGTGCCAACCTAATTCCAATTAGTGGTGAATTACAAAATTGAAAATCTTTCTTTTTCATAATCAAGAAGTGTGGCACTTAATTATGCTATCAAACTTCACCTAATTCCATGTTACTTAGGGATGTTAATGTGTAGATGAAGTAACTAGAATTCAATTAGCTCCTACTGAATTTGAATTTCATCCCAGCAAATTAACAACTACCATCTAAATCAAAACACATCCACTCTATCTTGTGACACTTTTCTATGATCTAAAACATTGAAACTAAACAAGCACTCGCGCTATTTCCAACAAGAAGGGTGTCAAAATTAGTCATAATTGGAGTGCCAGACTTGTGGAAACATTCCACCTTGCAGGTTGGAAATAGATGGGTGGTCAAGAATGAGTTGGCTACCTTACATGAATTTGTATCTACGATGTCCACAAGCATTGTCCTTTTCTTTGTTTCCTTACTTAGTTTTTATCAAAATAATATTTTTTAATGCTATTTATCTTTTTTTTTTGTGATTTGTTCTATGATTTTAGAAGACTCTTGAATACATGAACAAAAGTATAAATAAATAAATAAATATAACATAATAAGAATATATTATACTATAATGTGATGTTTATTTTTAAATTATTATGTGAGATGATACATTCTAAAAATTTCTCATATTCTTTATATAATTAATTATTATTTATTTTAAAATTTAAATATAATTTTGTATGAAAAAATATAATTTTTTCTTGCACATTATTTAGTATTTTTGGAATTTTCTTTTCAACATACAAAATAAGATGCATGTCACGAATTGAGAATACTGATTGGAAATCTAAACAAGAAGCTCAAGAAGAATGGGCAAGAACTTGATTAATCAAATGAGTACAAGAACAACACTAGAGAGGTGAGCTAGAGCTCCAAGAGATGTATTGTCGAGACTGAGGGGATCCTCAGTCTCGGCTCCTATATATACTACGAGCTAAGAAGCTTCTCAAGTAGCTTCCACAAACTAGGAAGCTTCTCAAGCAGCTTCCATGAGCTTGAAAACTTCTCAAGTAGCTTCTACAAACTACAAAGCTTTTCTAGAACCTTCTAGAATCTTCTACAACTTCCTAGTGTATGTCCTTAACATCACCCTCCTTTTTAGCTTCAAGGCCTCCAAAAAGCACTCCTATTGCGAGTCAGTACCAACGTAAGAAGTTAAAAATTTGTCGCATAGTATCTATAATATACTCCAATTATTGTTCACGTGACAAGTAGTTCATTGGTCCTTGTAACCAACGATAGTGTCCTATGCCTTCGATTTTCGACCAAATATGAACTTTTGTGTCTTCATTGTAAAAATGCCCTACAAACATTCCTTCGAGAAGATCACCGTAGGCAGATTATACCTCAAACACAATCACTAGCGACTTGTTACTAAATATCCTTCATTGTCTTCGTGGTATAGGCGGTTCTTCATCTCAAGGTCATCTTTGTGAGATACTCGATTGAGAAGAGATGACTAGTATGGTATCTATCTCTTGGCTATCCATATCAGACCAAAAAATACAAGCACTAAACATGGAAGAATGGGCTCAGGTTATAGATTTATAGTCTCTAACTATGTCTTTTAGAAGTTCCTTCTCCCCCTTCTTTATAAGGCTGAGGATTAAGAGACTTCAAGGAGAAAGAACTTCACTGAAAAACTTTCATAAAAAAAGCTTAGGTTTCTGAAGATAGCGTCGATGAAACTCTTGTACCTTTTGCAATGCATTGATGAGCTTTCTTGCTGGTTCCTATGTGTGCTCATTGATATCATAGCTGCTCCGATAAACTAGGTATTCTAATTTCTTCTACTTACGCCACAAATCTAGTATCTTTTCTACTTCATATTCCTCGTGGTTTTCAATTTCAATACTAGGTGGCGGACATTGCACTCTTTGAAGAAAAGACAACTCTCGATAAGGTTCCAACAAAGAAACATGAAAGACTCAGTGTACCTTCATAGTAGCCAGTAACCCTAGATAATATGCCACTAAATTGATTTGTTTCTAGATGACAAATGGTCCCAATCTCCAGTAGTCCAACTTATCACATGACTGCTTGGTTTTGATATCTCGTCAAAGCAACCATACTTTATCTCCAATTTTGAAAGTAGGTACATAATTCCGAAATTTATCTATGGACACCTTATAAGCTTCTTCGGCAGTTTGTAATTAAAGCTTCAATGTAGTTTGAAGCTCCGATAGTTGTTTCACAAATCCTTCAACTATCGGGTTGCTATTAGTTGACGGACTCAATAAATCAAGCATCGGATGATACCCATAGTTGAAAAAGAATAGTATTTGTTGAGTCGACATATGAAAGGTATTGTTATATGCAAACTCGACTAATGATAGATATACAGTCCAATCATCTTACTGATAGTTGATGCTGCATCGTAAATATTAATCCAAAGTTTGATTCACATGTTTCATTTGGCAGTCAATTTAAGGATGAAAAATCGAAGAAAGCTTGATATCCACCTTCAATATTTCAAAGAGAGATCTCCAAAACTTTGATACAAATTAGATTCTTCGATCCAACAAGATATCATCTAGTAAACTATGATATCGATACACATTATCAAAGAAGAACCTTGATGTATCTTTGCTTTATGATGTTTTCTTGCAAAGGACAAAGTGTGCCATCTTTGTAAGCCGATCTACGACAACAAAGATGTTGTCAAATGAATTTGATAGCAGTAGGTCCATAATGAAGTCCATGGAAATTTAAGACCATGGTCGACGTCGGATAGACAATGACTAAAGAAGACCATAAAGACGATGTCGAGGATTCTTGAATCTTGAACAAATGTCATAAGAGAAGAAAAAATCCTTGATATCCTTCTACATTTGGGGCCACCAAAAATCTCGAGAAATAAGTTCGAAGGTCTTATTGAATCCAAAATGTCTTGCAGCTAGAAAGTCGTGTTGAGATTGGAGAACTCGGAATCGTGCTGGTCCCTTTGAAATATACAATCGCTCCTCAAAGTATAAAAGATCTCCTTCTACCTTGAACTTATCATTATTGACACGTTGCATGCTATCGAGGGCTACAGAATCTCTAATAGTTGCAGTATGTACATGGTTGAAGAAGTCAGCATCAATTGGCACTATAGCACAACAAAGCCTGAATTATTTCGACTTCAACAATGTTATACATTGTTGATCAAATGCTGCTTCTCCAGCCTTTGGCATTAGATACGATCTCCTTAATAATGCATCAAATAGTCTTTGTTGCTTCCTAGGTCGATAAATAGTAACAAAGTCAAACTTGGATAGCAACATATTTCATCAAGCTTGACGACGATTCAAAACCCGAACCGACATGAAGTACTCCAAATTCTTGTGATCCATGTATACAGTCACCGAATGCGTAGCTCTTTCAAAGAAGTGATGCCATTCTTGGAAAGAATCCACTATCGTAAGAAGTTCTTTATCGTAGATCTCATAGTTGATCTCTGTAACAAAAAACTTTCGAGAGTAGAATGCAATGCGATGAAGCTTCTTGTCTGCACCTATCTTTGAAAGTACAACTCTCATAGCAAAATCTGAAGCATCGGTCTCCAAATAGAAGGCCTTTGTAAAGTCTACATGTTCCAAGATTGGAGCCATAGTAAATGTCGTCTTAAGATCTTGAAATGCTTTTTTTGCTAGAAGTCCCCATTTGAGTTTGTCTTCATATGTCAACTGAGTGAGCGGAGCAGCAACTTGAGAATAATTCTTGATGAAGATCCGATAGAAGCTAGCAAAGCTAAGAAAGCATTGTACATCTCTAATCATCTTTGGAACTTCCTATGATATAATTTCTTCCACTTTCTTAGGTTCCATCTTCAAACCTTCCATATTTGCAATGAATTCCAAAAATTTCATCATAATTTGGTTAAACAAGCACTTCTCCAATTTGGCATAAAGTCCTTGCTAGCTGAGATTTTCAAGGACCAGACGAATGTATTTCTCATGCTCTTCTATGTTATTGGAAAATATCAGAATATCATCTAGATAGATGACAAAAAAATTGTCAAGGTGCTCCCAAAAGATGTCATTCATCATGTATTAAAAGATCGCCAAAGCATTGGTAAGACCGAAAGGCATGACATTATATTCAAAATAGCCATACCTTGTACGAAAAGCTATCTTCCATTCATCTCTTTCCTTGATTCGTACAAGATTGTAAGCTCTCCTTAGATCAATCTTTGTAAAGATCCTTGCACTCCCAAGTTGCTCTAGAAGACGTGATATCAAGGGTAATAGATAATGATTCTTCTTTGTCACCTTGTTGAGACCTCAATAATCCACACACATCTGCAGTGAGCCATCTTTCTTCTTCACAAATAAGATTGGTGCCTCAGTTGGCGACTTCGAATGACAAATGAAGTTCTTAGCTAGATTCTTGTCAATGTACTTTTGCAACTCTACAAACTCCACCTGTGAAAAATTATAGATTGGGCCAAAAGGTGGTTGTGCTCCTTTCTGCAAGTCTATAGCATAATCGTATAGTCGATGCTCCAATAGCATGTTAGCATTCTTCTTTTGAAACACGTCTTCAAAATCCTTATATTACTTTGGCATACTTACTACCGAAATCTTCTCTCCGCTAATTGGAGTCGCATAAATGACAAATGATGTACCTTCCTTGGAAGATGTTACAAACGCTCTTG